GGAGCATTCCTTATCAGGACTTCTTTTATTAAGCCCTGACGTAAATCCACTAAGTACTCCTCATCGAGGAGACGCTCCACTTCGCTTTGACCTCCAGGCGGATAAAGAAGAAGAATCAACTTTGAGGTCAGCTAATTTTCTTACCCTTTTAGACGGAGAGAGACCATATCTAAAAATTATGGCCCTTTTTGCCCCTTCGTAATTAAGATGTTCTTCATCCATAGGGATTATTTGAAAACCTCGCCCAGCAATGCTGAGGCCATAAGGCTATATTTCGCCCTAGAGTTATGTATGCCTCTCAAAGCGAAATCCAATTCGATCCGCCGGAACAACTCTCGACGTCCGATGACGCAAATCTTGGAAGACGAAGTTCCGCGACGGCCATAGTCAAGTTTGACTCCTCCATTTTTTTGGATTCTTCTTTTAGAAGTGGGGGTGAAGTTTCTTTTCATGTAAAGACGTAAAGACGCAAAGAGGAAGAAGTTCTAGAGACTACTGAGTATATCTTTTCTTGTAACAATAACAACAAAGTAGAGGAAGATGTGGATCAGCATGTCTATACGGATAAAGTCCCAACATATATTTATATATAAATTTAAATTTCTCATAATCTTTTACATATCAATTTTTTTTATACGATCAAGAACTATCTTTAAAAGATATGTATGTACAATATAAATGATTATAATATAGGATATTTTGTTTAAAAAATTGATATTGTTATAATTTTTTGCGCCCAGGTAATACAACTTTTATTTCAAAAACTTGGAAGTATTTTAACAATAAAACCATCCTACATTCTTTATTTTAAAAATGATTAATTGTGGAGTGTTCTCTATTTTTACATTATATGAACATAAATAATGGGGGAATCAGAATTCATAAAAATTTGTTCATCCACCGGAACTTTATCTAATAAAGGAATAAAAGTGATCTTTGTATCTTAAAATGTCATTCTCAGACAGTCTATAATCAATTGGGCTTTCCCATTTAAATAGCTAACTCAATGGATTTTCAACTACAAAATGGTATTTTTTTTTCAAAAGAGTCACACAACACAATAGCTTTAATTATGTTTCCATGAACCTTTCCATCTCTTTTATATTCAGTATAATGAACAGTTTGAGAAGGGAGATAATTTGGAATTCTACGAAATGCGTTTAGTGATTATGATACAATTACCCAAATGGTAACGGCAGTTAGTGTAACCTGGATAGGAAGAAAAAAGAAAGGAGAGGATTGGACAAATACTCCCTCCTTCTCTTTCTCTTTCTATCCAGGTAACACTAACAGAGTTACCAGATGGTAATCGTATATTCTCATATCAAAAGATCATTTTTTGGGGGAGAGTACGTATTTGCTTATATCTCTTAAAGTATAGCGATTTTAGAACACAAAATATATCAAATGAAAGCTTGATTAACCAGCTTTAATATTTTGGTATACTAAATCATGTCAATTTAATAAGTAGAGAGTTATATGCACATTAAAAAAGCCTATCTCGCGTACAAAATGACGCATATAATGGATTATAATGCGTCAGAGTAAAGTAAAATTTGAGAGAATACCTTGACGCACATCTAAGAAACACATTATGATTTATTTTTTTCATAATCGATTTCTTATAGGTCAATACAGGCTCTGAATCATATGATGTAAACTCAGATTGTACTGAATTCTGAATTGATAGAATGCAACCAAGGTCATTTTTGGATTTATCATCTAAAGTTTTACTAAACTTAAAAGTACTATTTTACTCTGAAGCGAACAAGTCATCTTCTACAGGCGAGTGAAGTTAATTGATACAAAAAGCTATGAAATAAGCTAACCATACTCACTCCCTTTCTTGCTTTGTTTTTACTGAAAACTTTGTTTTATTAAAAACATAAAACATACGTCTGGTAGTAAATTAGATTTCCTTTAAATTAATAATTATTATTGAAGTCTGTAACGTCCACCATTTTGAAGAAATTTGCGGAAAACTATATTTTTACTAAATTTTAAAACTTTGACCTCGTTGCGCGACCTCGTAATGTTGACCGATTTTGTTCAAACTTTGTATGTCGTCTTCTTTTATCACCAAGAAACAGAAAATGCTCAAAGTCGCTAACATTTCAACATTTGAAAAATAAGAACAACCCTAATATATATGGGGTGATTCTTATTCATGTTCTTTGGATTTGAGGGTCGGGCTCCCCCTAAGATTTTACTTTAGTGCATAGAGATCATCTTGTGAAAGTTTGAACGAAAGCGAATAATGGGAAGTGTTTGCTCAACGGGCCCAAAAGTTATTTAGTAAGCTTATGTAGTAAAAAATTTCTTCGTTATTCAATTACCTCTCATGTCATTAATATATACAGTTTTCAAAACATTTGCTGCAAATGTAGATATTCTCAAGGATTCCAAATTATATTTTATTTTTTATGTGCGTACAAAATTACACGAGTTATTTGCATTAAAAAATAGAAAACTGGCGAAAGGCCTATTTCTTCACGCACAGGGATTTCAATTTTTTATGTTCAATTGTGTACTTAAAAAAATGTAGTTATCATATCTCTATATAAGCCAGGGTTTTCTGTCATGAACTGTCAAATCAGCTATTTTCACTTCAACACATGACGTCATTTTACGTTTTATACCTACTTAGGAATAACAGATATGAAGGGAATTATAGCAACAGTTTAACACAAGAATGACAGCTATGGATAAGCAAGTTAAGCTGTTATCAGCCACACAGCTCATACACCTGCATGAACATCAAGGGAGAGTGGAGTGACGTCACAATCGACAATCACAAATAAAAGAGCCTCCGATGATCATATTCGAGAATCCATGTATTCAATATTTGCTCGCCAGAATGAGGATACCATGTAAGAATTCTGGCCTAGACTCCAAACTAGTCAGAGATCCCTCGCTCCCTCCCTCCTTCCTTCCTCACTGGGCATTGGAGTTCCGTCCCTCGTCTTCGTGAGAGGAGCTCCGTGCCTCGTCTTCGTAAAAGAAGTTGCTTTCCTCGTTTTCGTAAAGGACTCCTACCCCTCGTCAACAAGTCTGATATATATATATATATATATATATATATATATAGCAACTTCTTTTTGTAAATTAAGCTACTTTAAAGAACCAAAAAAATAGTTTTTTGTTAAATATGTTAAACGACCAAATATTTTCTATGATAACTACTTACTTTTGCACAAAACAAGTATTATTTGTCACCATGCACCAAATATAATATATATACAGGGTCTTGCAGGTAAATCCGCTCAAAGTTCAATATCCTCCAGAGTGATACCTATTTTGAATAAGAAAGTTGTTTCTTAGACATAATACAAGATTACTATTCAATATGGCCGCCCTCAGCCTAAAGGATGTCCACCAAACAACGCTTGAACCTCCCAAAGGCCGTGGAGACCTCTGCAGCATCTAGCTTGTTCATCTCCGACTTGGTGGAGGCCTTCAGGGACGCCACATTGCTGTGGTGTGTGGGTGCACATCTCCCTCTCCAACTTCCCCTACAAGTAGTAGTCGCATGGGTTTAGGTCGGGATGTTGGGGGGCCAGGTGTTAAATCCCAGAAGTTGGACACATTCTTCTTCAGCCAGGACTGCACAATTTTGGCCTTTGGGCGGGCACCGAGTCCTGCTGAATGTGTACGGGGTCCCGGAGGCCGCAGAGTCCATCCAGGGGGCGACGCAGGTGGGCCCCACGCTTTCTGGCGAGGATGGACATGACGTCCCCGGATTGGCCTGGATGGACCTCTTGAGACCAGCCGCAAATGTGGGCGTGCAGATCCGGTCACTCTTGGCTTGTGCTCCTTCCTCTTGGACATCCCTGACTCCTCCCACTTCTTGGTGATGTCGTAGACCGTCTTCCTGGGGTACTTGAGCAATTTGATGATGGCTGCAGGACGGTGTCCTGCGCACAGCAACTCGATGACCGTGTCCCTCCGGGTCTGCTCCATCTCCGTATCATGTATTTGTTTTGTTTTCGGGCGCAATTCGACAGTACATTAACGAAGCCTCTAACATGTGCAATATCTAAGCTCTACTTGCACTCCTTATGGATTTGGACAAAGTTGAACTTTGTGCGCACTAGAATTAATTTGATTTGTTTTACTAAATATATTTTTATAATACAAATAAATGCTTCATATGACATTTATGAATTAGGATTATATATACTTTCATGTGTTTTCTCTTAAGATACACACACACATATATATATATATATATTATATATATATATATATATATATATAAATTCTATATATAGGTGGTATTTTTTATCACATAAAATTAAAAAATGCAATATATTGATTTATATTCATATATAAAGTAATGAATAACATTTTTTATTTCCAAATTTGATGTTATTGCGCATAAAACTATAATATTAGATAAATGCTCGAATATGAATTTATATAACACAAAATTTATGCTTAATTTATTTAAGGGTAATTATGATTATGTATTCATCAACAAATAAATATAAATTATAATTGAAAATCAAATATTTCAACATAGAGATAATATTCTTCTAAATTCGCTTGCCGAATTTTAATCATAGAGGACAAAGTTACTCATAAGCCCAACAAAGTTGCGTTTTAGCAAATGAAAATGTTGCAGATGAATTTTCAAACTTAAGGCTTCCTTATCGAGTATTTATTTTTTCTTTACAACTATTAAGAATATATATATTTATATATATATGTACAAATATTGGATTAGTAAAAAAGTAACTTTTATTTTTATAAAATAACTCATGGTACCATATTTGAGACAGTGAGCAAAGAAGAAAAATACGTACTTGAAACCTTGAAACACCAATTACATGACTACAATGATCCATGAACAAAAAACTTAGATAATTATTGTCTATTAAATCAAATTTGCTTATAGCTAATAGTTAATATAATACAGTTTGTTTCCAAAGCCCATTCACCATCATTCAAATGATTATATTTATTAGCGGTAATATTAATAATCATAACAAATTATGTATCGGCTCGAAAGTATAATCGAACCACTCTGCAATTACAGGTTTGAAGCCTGCATACTGAAACCCCGAAGATCATCTAGGCACATGCGTTTCTTAACATAAACCTTTATATACTAAGTCATAATGTTTCAAGTATATACATTAGGATTATATATATTATTGATTTATGAGTTGGTTCAGTAAGAAAGCAATTCTAAATGAAAGAGTGAAAATGCATTCTTAAGTTTTTTTACTGCATAAAATGACGGCCAAATATTTCAAAAGCATTTTAAGACCAGTTGCACATTTTGTTAACCATGAATGTAATTTTTATTTCCATAGGTTAGAATGATTTTTTTCTATTGGATTTATTTGTTACAGGTTTACATTCCACATGGTTCAGATATGATCCCTCAAAGATAGTCCCTTTTTTCATAGCCATAAGACATTTTTCCTTAGTAATTATCAATAATGATATATAATTAGCAATTATTCTGACTTGTATTCAACTAATCAAAATATTTTACAAACACAAACTATATTGTGAATTTTACTAACTATATGTAGTGATTGTAACTCATTTTACCAACATACATTTATACTTGGATTCTTGCTGGACCACCACATATCGTATATATATCTACGTATAAAATTACGAATATGTTTTATAATTTAGTTATTTCTTTCACCGATTATATTGACATCTTTAATATTTAACAAGATGTCTTGAAAATATTCATTTCTTACAATATAAACTAGAAATTAGTGACATCTATAAAATGATTATTCATTTATTACGATAGGGTTATCTTTTACTTAGAGTCCTGCATTGTCATAAGAAAAAATAATAGCTATATGTTTATTTAAACTCTACTTACTTTGCGTGTATTATGAGCTTTACTTAGGACAAAAGCTGTGATCGATCATAATATATTTTATTTGCTTGTCAAGTTCTTCCTTTTAACTGTTTATCCACAATGAAGCAATACACTTCTTTCATACTCTACTTGCTAATATATCTAAAAACCACATCAATAGGTAAATATAAAGTATATTTAATAAAAGAAACATCTTATCTTTATGCATTACTTTAATTAATAAAATACAAAGGGGGCAATAAATGTATTTGAAAAATCCTATAAAGGGGTGATTTTTGAAAAAAAATATTTTTTAAATTTATATTTTTTAACCAATTTTTCAATCTTTTTTATTTAAGGGGCAAAAATTATTTTCTTGCAATATCTACAGAGTTTTACAAAAAATGAGAAAGTATCTCCGAATAAGAAGAATATAAATGAATATATTCTAAACAATATCATCATTTTTCTTTTTTTATATTTCGGTTCTTCTCGAGATTAATAATTTTTTCAAAAGTTTCTAACTCTTTCAAAAGCAGAATAATTTGCCCGACACTTTTTATTCTTTTTTAGATAAAGTTCCGGTGGATGAACAAATTTTTTATGAATTCTGATTCCCCCCATTATTTATGTTCATATAATGTAAAAAATAGAGAACACTCCACAATGTATATCATTTTTAAAATAAAGAATGTAGATGGTTTTAATTTTATAATACTTCCAAGTTTTGAATAAAAGTTGTATTACCTGGGCGCTAAAAAATTATACAATATCAATTTTAAAAAAATATCCTATATTAAAATCATTTATATTGTACATACATTCTTTTAAAGATATTCTTGATCGTATAAAAAAATCTTATATGTTAAAAGACCTATGAGATATTTAAATTTATATATAACAGAGGCATATATACACTCAGAGAGTGCAAACCTCCGCCGTCATGAGCCTTCCGAGGCGATTTTTCACGACTGGGAGGCGTAGAGAGACGGGGGAGGTTCCCCCTAGACGGAAATTCCGAGAGGAAGACGCTCCCGGCACCCAATTTCCCAGCACAGCGACATCTATTGGCAGAGTAGCTAACTTGAAAAATTTAGTATATTAGCTCATTTGGCGCCTTAATTCTGCACTCAGAGATGCAAATTTAATCACTTCTTCCTGTTTGTGACACTTTCTCATAAACTCCACAAAATTTCATCCAAATCCGTTCAGTACTTTTTTGAGTTATCCTTCTGACAAACCAACAACTACAACCAACAAACCAAACTAACAAACCAACAAACGCCAGTGAAACCAATACCTCCTCGGCGGAGGTAACTAGAGGCATATATACACTCAGAGAGTGCAAACCTCCGCCTTCATGAGACCTTCCGAGGCGGATTTTTCACGACGGGGAGCGTAGAGAGACGGGGAGGGTTCACCCTAGACGGAAATTCCGAGAGGAACACGCTCCCGGCACCCAATTTCACAGCACAGCGACATCTATTGGCAGAGTAGGCTACTTGGAAAATTTAGTAGTATTTAGCTCATTTGGCGCTTTAATTCTGCACTCAAGATGCCAAAGTTTAATCACTTTTCCTTTTGGCACTTCCAACACCTGCCACAAAATTTCATCCAAACCGTTCAGTACTTTTTTGAGTTTTTATCCTGCTGACAAACCAAACAACTAACAAACCAACAAACCCAACAAACCGCCAGTGAAAAACAAACCTCCTTCGGCGGAGGTAAATAGATATGTAATACCTAAGTATAATATATATTCTATTATATATATATATATATATATATATATATATATATATATCTATATATAGATATTACTGTGACCTTCACAGATTTTTTGAAATATGATAGTCCTTATTTTTATCAGAATTTTTGTATATCTTATTTAATAAATTGTTTGATTTACATATCTCTTCAGATCATCAAAGTATAACATTTTTTATCAAATGAGATAATTAGTCCCAAGTAAGGGTCGACTGATAGCAGATTGTTTAGGCAATATATACCGATAATTTTGCTCTCTAGAAAAAAACGT